GTGTCGGTACGGTCAGTGTCGGTACAGTCAGTGTCGGTACAGTCAGTGTCGGTACAGTCAGTGTCGGTACAGTCAGTGTCGGTATGGTCAGTGTCGGTACAGTCAGTGTCAGAACGTGTCAGTTCTGATGCTTTTCCATTGACGTTCCAGTCTGGCTCCAGTGGGTGTGTTTTGGGCAGTTGGTAAAGGTGATTTTTTGGGTTGTTTCAAAAAAAGTTAATACACAAAATGAGAGATGGAAACACATTTGYCGAATAAGTCCTGAAATTTTAAAAATTCGCAATAAATTCAAATTAAAGTTGGATGGATACAGAACTAATGTCACTGCTACAATTGAAAAAAAAAATGGTGCCTCAAGTTGTTGTAAAGGCAGCTCAGACACAACCAGTGACTCCACCCCTAACCAATCAGTGGTGAACAGTGTTCTGATGTCGTCTTTTGGTATCGACTGGGACCACTTGGAACCACAACGAAGGGGCTGGTTCCAAGAATCTGGTCTAATGGAAATGGCTTGGAACCATACAGACACTACACTAAGTGGCACTAGTGGAYAGGGGGCACAGACCGGTACCAGAAMCACCCCACRTTTCCCAACAATGRTTATTYTCCAYGTTCAGAACAGCTGACAAAAAACAAAGTGTAAAAACCTGAAGTGATCCCAAAGCTTCTGTGTCATCGGTTCATTTAGAAAAGACAACGTRCACACATCAAGAGACTCAGAACAAGTAGTGGATAACCTTTGCAGAAAAGACTCTCCTGCGAGTGGACACTGGGGACAACATYGGCTTCTATSAGGTCTKAAAGACAGTCTGCACACCCACCTACCTAGTCCACAGCCCACTGTGCAGGATGGAACTGAACTACACCACTGGTCTAAGAACTAGTGCCAACAGCACAGTCCAGGCTTTGGAACAGGATCCCCCAACAACAGACGAGAGAAGAACTAGACGTACACCAACTGTAGATCAACAAATTACAAGAGCTGAAGTCAGGAAAGCWGCAGGAACAGACCGTATCCCTCCTGAGATCAGGATACATGGTAACCCAGCTGAGTGACTCTGGTGTCACACTGAAGGGACCTCCCACTCCTCGAGCTCTTCCATCAGTGTCGTCTCCGACTGGTCCTCCAGCAGCAGAGATGGTCAGAAGGCCTCAGGCAGGACACGGGTCCAGAATCACAGACCAGAGTCTGCTTCAGGTTCTACTCTAAGGCAAACAACGGTCCACTGAGCATCACAGCAGAGGTACCCCAAAACAGAAGTACCAGGATGTCTTCAACGCCACGAGTCATGCTGACACTTCTTCCTGGTCCTCCCTAGCAGCCGACTCAGAGCTAAACAACCAAAGAAATCTGAAGCTCCTATGTTTAATAGTTTTTGAGCTATAACCATTTTTGTATGTCCAGATACCCCTTTTTCAGATAAAATGGGGGGCCGGGGGGTGGGGCACTGATTGGTGGGCCTGATGGATAGCCCCTCATCAGAGCTAAAC